GACCCCTCCCGCTGCGCCGGGCCGGGCCTCGCCAACTCGGGGCCGGCGTGCGCTTCCCGATTAGTGGGGTATTATTAATTATTATTGCCGTTATTAATACCAAAGGGATCTCGGCTGTCTTCTTCTCAGCGCACCCGCTCTGCCTTGAAGTCATTAAGCCGCAGAACAATAAGGGCGGGCGAGCCGACAAGAGCAATGCCATTGTTCCCGCTCCCCAGCCTGAGCTCGTCCTGCTCCCATGTAAATGAACTTAATGCTCTTCATTCAGGCGCACTCGGAGGGTTCTCATTTACTGCCTCTCTCTCTGTGACAGCATTTTCTCACCAGCCCTGACTGCATAATTAATGCAAATGCAGCCTTAGTGTCATGAGCTGGGCTCCTTTGGTTTACTTTGGTACGACACTTACAGAGGAATATTAACTAGAGAAAGCAGCATCACAACAGGGGTGGAAAATCAGCCTGTCAGGGACTCATTCCAAATGCCAGGGAAAGGAGAGCGCCTTCAAGATTGTTTCATCAAGGTGATTGAGAACAAAAACTACTGAGGAAAATTCGAGCTTACATTTATGAGCTTCTCCACATACATTATTTATATCACCAGAACCTATAGGAACGGTATTTCCAAGCACATATTCATACAAAGACACTGTTTGGGCTGAGAACTGGAATTAAATGTCCACGGGCACACGCGTGCGCGCGCCGGCGCTGATCCCAGGTAGGCGCGAGCGCTGCCAGGACAGCCTTTGTGTGCCCGCCGGCCTGCTCGCCGCAGCTTCCCGGGCGTTCGGATTTATTCTAGCACAACTCCACACGCGCTTGCTCCTCAAAAAGGTCAGTGAGCCGCGTACCCGATACAGCCCTTTGCAGGGATAATCCTGCGTTTTAATCCTGCCTGCTCCAAGCAAAATTGGCTCTGTTGGGGCTTGGGTTTGTTGGGTTTTTGTTTTTTTTTTCTCCCCAGCAAACAGACAGCAGTTCTGCACTGAATACATGAGAATTAAAGCAGGAGAGCGGGATGCAGCTGTGTCACCAAGTACTTCGTACCACGCATCGCCAGGGCATGCCTTTTTTCCAGAACAGCCACGCTAGAATGTTTATTCAGACTAATTCTGCTTGTATTTTATTACCAGATAGCACTCTGTCTTGTATTTTTGATCTGCCACAAAAGTGAATTTGCAAGCACTATGTGTTTATTTTGCTTTCCTCTTTATTCTTTAGTTACACTGAGAGACACCTCTTTGTACGTTTCTTTCTGAATTTGGGGATTTTTGCATAATCTTTTCCTTACTGCCTACTGCTTCCAGGCACAGCCACGCTGGTCAGATCTGAGAATGCTACCCGTTACCGAGCTGCGAATACCATGGTTCACAGAAATATGCGTCAGATTCCTCTCTCCTCCTCCCCCCATCGGTGCTAATTTAAAAAGCGTGAGAATTTTAGCAGTAAGAAATACGGCCCCTGTTTATCTGCCCTCCTGTGTCGGAGACTCTGGGTCACCTTTTCAGCCTTTTCAATGTGTCTGTGAAGACTGAAGACAAAGTCTTTTCTGCCTGGGAAGCTGAGATTTTCTGGCGATCCCCAAACCCGAAACTTTAACAAAACCAGCACCCAACATAGCAAAACCTGTTATTAAATCCTAAAAACCGGTGACGCCCCCGTCTGCTGATCGCACTGGTTCTCCCCCCTTGTTTACTTCCCCGCGAACAGACAAACCGAGCCCTGCCCGAGGACGCAGCTCAGGTGAGGGTGGATGTGTTTTGTCACCTGCGTGCCTCTGGACTGCACGCAGCACGGCCACCATCCCGCTTGGTGCAGGATGGGCGCCCAGAACGAGCGCGGCTCCCCCAGCGGGGCCTTGCAAAGGAGATTTAGGCGAGAGGCAGCCCTGGGCTCCGGCGTCGGGACGGCAGGGCAGACGGGCGAGCCCTGTGCCCGCGGCCCCTGGGGTCCCGGCTGCACCGAGTGTCACCCACCTCCGGACACAGCGCTTGCTCCTCGGAAAGCGACACGGCTAATTACGTACAGAGCTCAAGTGCAAAGGTTTCCTTCTTTCTGTTTTTTTTCTTTCTGCCATCCCTCAAAGCCAAAAGCATTCTGCATACCCCGGGCTTCAACTTTTAATTGCTTTACTCCCATTAATGCAATTAACAAAGGCAGCCCTGCTCCGTGCTGCCGAGTCCTGCCCCCCACGCCGTGCGGGCAGCCGAGCCACCACGCTCGGGCAGGGCAGCGACCCGATTCCCCAAGGCAGGCGAGGAATCCGGCTTCCCCAGGGTCAGGCGTGGGCCACGGGAGCCGCGCGCCTCCCTGCTGCCCTGACCGAGGACCACACCAGCTGCGGGACCTCACCAGCTTAGCGGAATATACAGCAAGTGAAAATAATACCTTGATCCCCGGTAATATACCATGCAACCGAAGGGATCAAAATGAACATGCCAGTCAAACGGTTTATTTTAGACAGGAAACAGCCCCGCAGACCATTATTACAAATTAAAGGTATTACATCGAAGTCATTTTTAATCCCTTATAAATGAATAACCCTTCTACCAACATTAAATCATTTTCTTCTGCAGAAGTAACATTTCCTCTCCGTGGCACAGGATATATTCCCCCGCAGATCGGGGAGCTATCCTGCCATTAGAGCTGGTGGCGGCTGATTGCGCCGCACCAGGACTCATAAAATTCCCACAGAACTCGCACTTGCGTCCTCCCAGGGCAGAGCTGCCTTATCTCATCCATAAGCAATAATGCCACTTTATTTTCAGTAATCAGCGCGCAGATGATTATTTAGACGCAGCCTCATAATCCTCCTCGCGCCAACTCGGAAAGATCTCGATTTGAAATCTGCAGTCAAGAAATGGCCCCTACTGCAAACACGCGACGCGGGAGCGGAGCCCCTCTCCGCGCTGCCGTGCCTCGGCTTATTTCTGTTTGCTCAGCCAGACAAAAAGTAGAGCGCGGGTCTGGGCAAGGCGCGACTCCAGACAACTTTCAGCATCAACCGCACAATGTCCATTTTGGCGCAGCTCTAACAGGGCATCAATATTGTCATTTTAAACTCGGGATCAGTACACAAATGTGCTATAAATGGGAAAATCCCTTGTGATACCAGTGTGAAACATGCAGCTCATTGATTTTGTTCTTGATGGTCTGCTATTAAACTGGCGAACGTGCTGACCTTGTGTGCGAAGGCAGAATAGTGTGCATGCAACATAAAGTTGAAAAACAGCTTTAAAATGACTGTTTAAAACTGTAGACTACAAACCTTAAAATATAGACAAGCATTCCATAGTTTATTTTAAATTGGCAACCACAATTTAACAAGCTATTCTAACAAAGGCTTAGCATAGCGTGTGCTTTTCTTTAGCCATCAATTATGACACGGGGTAATGCAGGGCACAACTTAAGTGTCAAATTACAATATGCGGTACAAAACCACTTTACAACGCTGCCTTCTGTTTGCTGAGCAATTACCACCACGCACGCCGCTCTCCTGGAAAGCCTGGGTCCCAGCACTTCCTGGGAATTATTCGGCATGTGCGTGCACTTAGAGATCACAAAACGCTGGCTGCTGCTTTACCACATTTCTGCCATTTAAAGGAAGAAAAAAAAAAAATGCCGGTATTTATTTTTATGCTCCAATTTCAAATAAAAATCCAAGTGCCTATCTTTGCTGCGGATCCCGTTAGATAAACATTTTTATTTTTTAAAAATTGATTAAATATTGAGTATTTCCATAGGACGAAACCAGCAATTTCCATTTAGCTCGATGACAGTTTCAGACGCTCGATCTGTTATTAGGCATAAAATTAACAGTTCTCTGGATTTCAGACACGGGATGATTGCATGCAGGTCCGGCTCCACGCAAAACCCACGGTGCTGAGACGATGTGTGGATAATTTAGCAAGATTTAAAATCCTGTCTTCACATAAATCAGTCACACTTACAAACGCCTGCCTTATGAATTGAAAAAATAAGAATTATATGTATTTTAAATCAGAAAGTTTTTATTATCCTTGCCACGTGAATATAGATTGTGTTTCCTGGGAGGAGGGAGGGGGAGCCCCCTGTTTTAGCTATTTTTTCTCTTCTGCTGTCCTTTCTCCTGCATTTGCCTAAAGGCTCTCAGTAAATTACACTCCAAGTAAATGACTGTAATTTACCCGTTGAATTCCCTTGTTCAGGAAAAGCACACACCACACATTCCAGCGTTTCCACAGCTCAAATTTACCATTCTCCATGTCAAGAACAATCCACGGGCAGTAATTTGAAACTGTTTGAGCCTTCAAATAAGGGAAATTAGAAATGTTTTGAGAGCTAAGATTTCCAGCAAGGAGATAAAACCTGATAAAATCCGTTAACAGTTCAATTCCTTCTCCCTTGTGCTTATGACCAGGGCGCTGGGTGTGCTGTTAAGCCAGGACCCGATGCCCGCTCAGCGCGGCCAGCGTTGCACGGGGTGCGGGGGAGCGACTGTTTGAGCCTTCAAATAAGGGAAATTAGAAATGTTTTGAGAGCTAAGATTTCCAGCAAGGAGATAAAACCTGATAAAATCCGTTAACAGTTCAATTCCTTCTCCCTTGTGCTTATGACCAGGGCGCTGGGTGTGCTGTTAAGCCAGGACCCGATGCCCGCTCAGCGCAGCCAGCGTTGCACGGGGTGCGGGGGAGCATTTTTAATGAGGCAAACGTTTTGAAAGGCCTGGGAACAAAAATAAAGGGAGACGACCTTAGAGCGAAGCAGGGAAGCAGGACATGGCGCTGAAGTCCCGATCCCCCTCAAACCAGCGGCCCAGCTCCCCGCGGCTTCTGCCGGGCTGGGATTTCCCCCCGGTTCCCGTCCAGGCTTCAGCTGGGCTCTTTGCTCCGAGACGGCTCTGCCCCGACAAGGCGGCCACGGCGGTACAGCTGGGCAAATCTCAAAATTAAAATATTCTATAAACCGGGATTTTAATTAACATCTAGAGCGATTAAAGCAGAGAAATCCATACATGTTCGTGATGAATTATCCCACGCGACGGTGGGGAATGTTCTGGGCCCGGTGACGGATACGCTGCGCGGCCAGACACAGACGCCTCCCCTCGCCTTACCACGCACAACGCCCCACCGCCAGCGCACTCAATAACCGCAACCGCCTATTTCGCTCTGTCTAAAGGCAGGTTTTCATATGGTAAAACTGTTATAAATCCTCATTATCCTAAATAAAATTACAGCACTTCAAACATTTCCAGGGAGAACATTCTCTCTTCTAAACAACTACCTTAGCGAGTAATAGGAAGCAATATGGTTGCACTTGTGTCACAGTTGGAAGTCTTTTTAAACTGTCGCCCTGCTAGCAAACCAATTCTACATATTAAAATGAATGGATTGCTTATTTCAAGGGGAAAAATCATTTATAAAATCAAGACCATTATTAAGATACTGTGACTTATTTCCATTCCAGAGTGCTTGAGAAACAGATAAATGCAGCAACCTATGCAGGCTGAAATGTCTTTTTTTTGATGCCACAATTTGCTTTTTCGAATGAGTCATCCATGCGTACAAGTAAATTAAAAATTGATCTAGATTCCACACGCGAGGAGCTGAAGTTTTCACACGTTCCCGTCTTACAGATCTCACAAACACCTGGCTACGGGCTTTTATTTCTGCAACGCAAGGGATCCTCCTCCCGCCTTCCCTGCCGGCGCCGCGCGAGACGCCCGAAGGCGCGCATGCAGCATTTCGGCGGGGGTTGCTGTAAACGTACCTGGCCTGCAGCAGAGCACGGTGGGTTTTTAGGGGGTAATTGGCTGACCTCCTCGGCAGTTGGCGTCTCTGTCTGAAATAACACCCTGGCCTGGCCATATCGCCTATTTATTCAGGACCCTTTAACAGATTAGCTGTTTGGATTAAATCTAATCAGAGGTTCAGTTAACACACCACAGCAGGTTTGGGAGCGTGCACCTTGTAGTCACTGAGTAAATTATAGGAACCCTATAATTTGATGAGAACATGTGGGCATTTTTCCACACGCTCATAAATTACTGATTGCTTTTTGTAGGTTTCATTGATACTAATGCATGCTCCCCTCCATGCCTCTGCCCCAGATTGTTGCTGGCACAAACATCGCCACTTGGAAACCTAGCAAATTACTGAAACATGTTTAATCATGAGGTTTAAAAACTTCGCACGTTAATGACGGGGAAGGCTGCTGCTCCTGAGCGGCAAAACAGCCTCGCTGTGGGTTGCCCAGGGCGAGCGGCTTCCAGCACCAACCCGCCTCCCGCACAATGGCGGAGCTGGGGATTAGCGCACGCCACCCTCTCGGATGGGCCTTTTCTGCCTGCGGACGCTGCCCTGCCAGCACTTCCATTCTTCTCCCACTTGGTCCCAACTCCCCAAACCAGACAGCAGACTCTGCACACCCTCCACCTCGCGCGAACCCCCTTTTAATGGGAAAGGCAGCCAATAATAAAGCAATTAGCCGCTCAGCTAAGGAACTGCCAGTTTTGCTGTTGTCTTTTTTTTTTTTTCATCATTGAAAATTTCTCCATTAATTTCAAGCCATTTGTAGTATCCGTTTTCATAATCGCAGACCTGGATGAATTGTTTCTAGAAGTTGAACCATGGCTGATGCCAGCAGAACCTATGAACACATAAAAGCTTCAGTTTCTAATGTCACTATCAAGCCAAAAACAATTACACCCATTTGAATTATGGCAACCAATAAACTTAGATAATCACCATATGCAACATAACATTTTGGCACTTGAACTAAAAACTCTTGTAGACAACTATAGATTGCTGCTAATGTTGAGCGTTCTTGTCCTACCCAAGGCTGCCAATAGAAATGCCAAAGCTGCTGAATGCTGCTCATCCTCGTAATGTTGTCAGTGAATGGCACATTCACACAGCCCCCAATCCTCTCTTCCCAGGCATGGTCTTCTCCAGCTGCAGCTTAATTTCCTGTGACTTGCCTAATTACTGTAATTAAGGATTAATTGCCATTAATTATTCACACATAAGCTCATCGCAAATCATGGGGTAAATGTCTTATGAAAGCTGCCATACAAGCCATGTATAAACACACTGGGATGCTCCAGGCAGGAGAATCTATCACTCAGCCCTGAAGCAAATCTCTGTGCTTCTCTTACAAAAACAGCTATAACTCTCAGAAACTCGACAGTCTTTCCAGGTAAGCATTAGGTTACAAAGCATGTTTTCCTGTGGAAGCCACAACGGTTTTATTAGTACTATAAATGCTGTTTTATCTTTCCAACTGCTATTTTTATGTTTCCATTTTTATTCTACGGTGCTCAGTTTAGGACAAGCATTTGCTCGGAGGAGGAATGTTTGCAGTTGCTGCTCCCCCGCCCCGCGCCGCGGCTGTCGGAGGTTTGCAGCGCAGCACCATGTGACGGGATCAGCACGCCAGCAACAAAACCCAGCTCCGCATCAGCTGCGGGACCGGGATGGAAACCCCTGGCGTTTCCCTATTCCCAGCGAGCGAGGCCAGGGTTTGCACGCGGAGCGTACCCGGCACTCAGACATCCTCCGGGAGGGCAGAGCGTCCTGCAAAGACGGGGCCGGGGAAAAACACTGAGCCCAGCAGAAACGAGGGATGTGACAGAACCAAAGCGGGAGCGCTAATGAAACGAGCCCGGCACTACGCTAGCTGGCGTGATGGCTCCTCTGCTTTATTTTCACCGTCTTCGCCATCCCCTTCCCAAGCAAGCTCAAGGAAGAGGCCGGTTTCTTTGTTAGCGCACCAACATAGCACCAAATGCGGCTACCGGAGCGGGCCCCAGAGCCAGCGCCCCCGTTCCCAAGGCTCTGCGTTACTCTTGGTCTCTCCCCGTTCCGTCGACACCAGGTTTAAAACCGTAAGAATTTGATTTAGCAGAGCGAGCTGCAGTGCTGTGGTGTGCTGCACAAAGAGTCAAGGAGATCCTACATCAACGCTGCGCGTTACCACCGAAACACTGCCCCAGGAAATTTAAGTATAAGCAGGCAGAATGTTGTTCTAATTGTTATGTTAGTACCTTCTGCAGCAAATTAATGCATGAAACATTTTCATTTCGGTACATAAGTTTGTGTGTGTCTGAGTTAAACATTTATGTTAATGGACCTTCTGGCAGATCTGTAATGTTTCAAATACTCTTGTAGAACAGCTTTTTCTAAATACATCATTTAGCAGTTCTTTCCCCATTTTCTACCTGATCTGGGGGCATGCAGGAAGGGAAACAATTTCACAGTTTTAAAAACCTCCTGCTTGAGTAACT